CAAACAGTAGCAACGCCCTAGGAGGCCGCAGTCAAACAGGAGGTGTCGTCAGCATCAGTTCCTTCCCTGAGTAATGTGTCATCCCTTTACGCATCCCTACCTAATCTGTTAGCATTGCAGCATCCCTCGTGTACACCCACCGAAAACGGACGACTTGAAGATGTGAAGAAAGTGTTAACTACTATGGGGCCTCGTTATGCAGCTCGTCTCGGTGAAGAAAATGTGATCCTGACACTGGTGAGGAAACTGCCTGATGAAAGCCTGAAACGAAAATGGACAGATATTGCTAGTGATATTATCCAATCCAAGGGCCAGGTAAACTTTGCCGACTTCTTGAGCTTCATCCAGAAGAGGGCTGATTGCTTGAACAATCGTTTTGGGCAAGAACTGAAGCCATCACCAGCGCAAAATGACAGAGAAATAAGATCAGTTAGTAGGGACAGACAAGAGCCACCCCGAAGAGCTACTACCCTTCATGTCGCTGCCGACAATAACGCACCCAGAAGGCCTGGCGGTGCGAAATCAGCTACCTTAAAGTGTTATCATTGTTCTGGTTCACACGCGGTTTGGCAGTGTGAGAGTTTTAGAAGTGCACCCTATGAAGGACGATTACGAACTGTGCAGTTGAGGAGATTGTGGGGAAGTTGCATGGGACAAGGACATTTTAAAAAAGATTGCATGTGAAAATTTACCTGTCGAAAGCCGGGGTGTGGGAAGAGGCACCACTTCCTCATCCACCCTCCTGACAAGTGGAATACCACAGACCCTGCAGTGAAGGCGAGCAGTGTCGAGCAAGGACCAGCTATTATAAACCAGAGCTTTGTTAGTCGAACAGCCGCTGCACCCATCGAACCGAATCCTTCCTTGGTTGCCCAGCCAGTTACCGTGTCGTGTACCTTCAGAGAATCTGCTCCCGTTGAAACATCCAGAAACAGTCGGCCAAGGGTTTGCTTGAAGGTAGTTTCAGTGAAAGTTAGCGGTCTGGGTAGTGATAAGCAGATTACAACGTACGCATTCCGAAACAATGGCTCAGACGCCACACTCTGCCGAAGAGGACTGCTGAAAGAATCGGGCCTTGAAAGTGAGTCCACAGATTTCAGGCTTACCACTGTGAATCATGCAGGGAAAGAATACGGTCGTCGAGCCAGCTTGAAGATAGAAGCCCTAGATGGAAAGACAAAGTTCACCCTCGACCAGGTTTTAACTACTGAACGCCTTCCTATTGGAGAGAAGCACTTTACCAACAACAGAGAATTGAGAAAGTGGCCTCACCTTGACGGGATCTATCTCCCACAAGTAGACGAACGCAAAGTCTCTATCCTTATCGGCAGCAACCGACCAGATATTATTGATAACAATTCAGAGATCAGAAGAAGGACTAAAGGTCAGTCCTATGCTGTGAATACACCCTTGGGATAGACAGCGTATGGTCCCATGGGCGAATCAAGTGGTGATGGCGTGTCTATCAATTTTTTTGAGAGTAATCATGAAGAAATACTAAGCACGCAATTGGATCGTTTGTACAACACTGAGTTCAGAGATTCCCTTGTAAATATGGAACAAAACTGGTCTGGCCAGAAATTATTTTTGGCCTGTGACGACGCCAAAAAAGAGAATTGTAGTACAACTAGACTATTTTTGAGACATGTGTCCTAAACCCTTTTCTTGGGCAAAAAATAAAAGAAAACTTTTTCCGACGGGAAGTCGAGAGGACCGCTCTTAGCGAGAGAGGTACTAAATTTGGTTTTACTTGAAAGCGTGGCATATACAAGCATTCAAAATCAGTAGGGCTACTGATAAACGTTTTTTGCGATATCTGTTGAATTTCTATTTTCAATGTGTCTCCAACCTTGAAAAAGACTCACTAGAAACTGACTAGCGTATTGATTTATTTCCAACCAAGCGACTAGGGATTTGGAAGTGTGGCATCGATTATGACAGCTCTACTTCTGAAAATTACGCTATTACATCTGTGTCTAGTACAAACCATCGTCCCAGGAAACATAACCGCTTCGCTTTCATTTTCAATTGCACAGCACATTGAACGTATCCTTCTATCCACTTTAGGTTCAGGTTTGTTTTCTGCTTTCTGTAAAGCTCGCGGCTAATCAAATGAACAACTCTTAAATTGATTTAAACAGTGAACAATGTCCGTGTTTACAAAATAGCCTCATCTAAACACGAGGGGGGCTGGCTGAGTTCCTGAATGGTGGCAAACCCAAGGAACAGTCAAAGGATTTTCATAAGTCTGGGACCAAAGTGGTGTTCCTAATTTTGATCACAAATATCATTCATACAATAAGTTTTCATGACTTCATTTATTTACTGCACAAAATTTTTCTCAACGTTTTCGCAAAACGTTTACAATTGACCTCAAAATAAATCATTCAGAATGAAGTCGACTTGACCTAATTTTAATTGATGCCGTTCGGAAGTTATTTTTAGATCTAAAATTTACAGCAAGGACATATTTAGTTCACCGGTTCAAACTTCAGTTCAAGTAACAACAAAATTCTGCTTTTTATATCCACAAAAAGACTCATCAAATCAATCAAGTTGCCTGATAAATCGTAGATAAATTTATCAAACCACCCAAGAATATTACAGAGTATTGTAAGAAGATCCGGTAAATTATTTCGTACAAAAAATCGTTTCATGAGACAAAAAAAATCTTCCCGAAACAAAATTATCGGTCTCTCAGGGAGAAGGCTTTAGGAAAAGTCGGCTGGTCTGATTTTCATTTCAGATGTTTTGGGATTGGTTTTAGCAGCTTTAGCAGTTAATTTTGTCCAGAAAATTGTGTAAGAACTTCCACGATGATGATAGATGCTGTTAAGATTTGAATAAGCAGTACAAACTCCATCAATGTACAGGTACCACCATCCTCCCCAATATTTCCGTGCACAATCATGATTAGCTGGATGTCTATCCCATGTACTAAATAACGTGCCATTATGAATGGAGAGGGAATCGTGAACAGTTGCAGCTGTACAAAAAGAGGAAGGAGTAAAAAATAAACTTAAATATATTTTAGCTTCACATTTGACAATTATCCGTTATTGTGTATAAAACTATGACATACTGTTACTTATGAGGGCGATGTTTCTGAAAAACGCTTTTGAATTCTAGAGCATCAAAGTTACAGAATCAAATCTGGCACCTAGTTTTGTATACCTCCCAGACCTTCGTGTCACTTGATGGATTTTCTGCCACCAAGTCACAGGGAACTTGCCAGTAAATGGGTTATTTACGGTTGGACTCATGAGTGTGACATGCATAACCATATACAAATGCACGAATAACAACGATATTTCCCAAGGCATACAGTCGTTTGAGAGACACGTGTGTGAAGAGCTGTAAGATTTACCATATTTAAGGGCGATGATGATGACGATCATCTATGACAATGATCGTGTATTAAGGATGAATAGATTGGCTTACGTGAAATATTACCGATGCGTAACTTGTAATCAGCTGTCTCATTCTCAATACCAAACCATTTGTACTCAGCGTAAACAGTTTTGCAGGCATGTACTCCCAGATCCACGCGAAGTTTGTTTTCTGTCTTGTTTTGCGTCAGGCGTTGGATCTTGTTCAATCCCAGCCAAAATTCGTGAATGAGGAAATCACCAAATCCCTTTTTGTACTCCTCCCAGGTGCGGTTGAAATTAACAGTGCCACCCACCCTTTTCTGGATCACTGTCCATCCTCCACCAGCGGTAGTTTGGTCACAATAGACATTAAAGGCACCTGAACCATCTGGGTCGATTGTATAAACACCACTGATGGTTTGGCCGTATTTGTAAAGTTCAGCACAGTTCTTAACTGAATAAGAGAAAAGAATTTAAAGGACGCAGAAGAAAGTTTCAGTAAGATGTGCATGCATTCAACCATCCACCACGAGGAAAAAGAGAAGAAGGAAAGGAAAACAAGTAATTAAAGCAAAGACATCGAAAGGAAAAAAATGATCAGCTAAACTCATGGTTCAAGGAAGCGATATCTGTTTAGCAACACATTAATGAGAGATAGATACGTCCAGGGAACTGGTATAAGTCTAGTTTTCTGCACAGAAAAAAAAAATCATTGAAAATCAACTCTGTCTCACTACCACTTTGTTGATAGGCTTCTACCTAGAGAGAATGAGCTTCAGAATTTAAAAATTTAAGAATTTCAAGAATACGCCAGCGAATGGAATCTTACTCACATATTTCCGATTCCCTGGTGTTGTTTATGCTCCCTATCTGGGCTGCACGCGTTTCAGATAACATTTGAGACGCGACTACTAAAGCCACACCGAGCACCAAAGTAGAACTTAATGATACAGACATGATACGATGATATCCTGAAATACTACACAGTTAAAAACTGAAGGAACTTTTATTGGAAGCACAATGGAATTCAGAACATTCTGGAAACGTTGAGGTGAAATAACTGCAATATTGTTTCAGCGGGGCAGTTTGCTTATCACAAGTACGATACAGGTGGGTAAATTTTTAGATTGCATAAGTAGTATTTGCGATTTTTATCTAAACTTCCGATTGGTTTATTCTCGTTACTTCAATGAATACAAGTTAAGAATGAAAATATCATTATCTACTACAGATTGCGATACTGTAGCCTTTTGCGGAAGCATCACGTTAAGGTCTAGCGGCCAGCTCTTCGGCCACTAAGACAGTGGCCGAAGAGCTGGAGTGAGTAGTCACGTGACGAATCAAAGCAGAGTTCTTACTTTTGTTTATTTAGCGATAACCATCAAAGAACCAAATTAATAACATAGCTAGTAAAATTGTCTAATCAAATTCAATTGCGCGAACGTGCTTCATATTTCTATTGTACACGCTCATGACGTCAGCAAACAAATCCCTCGAGAAAAAAAATTCCCATTAATTGGAAATCTTCGAAATAAATTGGTTCAGACGTCAGCTGTGCGTTCATCGAGATATGAAGCTCTTGGGAAGTTTGGAGAGCACTCAAAAAGCTAGAGTTGCTCTTGGCTATGCCTTTATTATACATTCTTTATATTTGTGTATCAAACGGTTGATTCATCAGCTTGAGTTCACCAAGTTTGGTAAGCAACTCTAGCATTTCAAGTGCTCGCCAAACGTCCGAAGTGTATATCTCGATATACTGGAATAATTATCTAAATTTCAGATAAAAAGCCTGGAAGTCTGTGCTTGAGGATCAGTTTTTAAAGCCCATATACAATTGTGTTGGGCTCATCAGATTATCTGTATTGTTTTCTAAATCAAGAATAGGGTCTTTATGGTCTATTTCAGTCGGAATAAGACGGAAAAAACAACTTGAAAATTTTGAAACTGGCGGCTAACATGATAGGGAACTTTGAGCTGGTAAAAAGCGTGGAGGTACATGCTTGAGGATCAGTTTTCAAAGCCTATATGCAATTGTGTTGGGTTTTTCAGATAATCTCTAAATATTTTTTCAAGATATTAATCTCATTCCCCAGAATATTCCTTGAGTAAATTGTACCTTTGAGGAATTTTGGACAAAAAGATAACGCTGCGTAAGGCAGGGTTGCTTTTGATTAAAACCCTAAGAACTTAAAAATATGATTGATACTAACTTTAAAAGCTTTTTACTGAAACAAAAACGCTAAACGAAGAAAATAAATGTATAAGTGTTCTCTTTCTGACATTGTTCCCACAGTGTCCGTCAATTAGGCATTCCTTATTACGGGTATTTTTTGCCGCTCGACTTTATTCTCGCATTATTTTTCGGCTTTGGACACTGAGAAAAGAAATGAACAAACACGACGTGCATATGAATTAAATTCATTCAGAGCTTTCTGCATTACTCGCGTTCATTTAGGCAAGTAAGACGACCACAGATACCGAAATTTAATGCAAAATTTCAAAACAGCGAAAAGTTAATTGAGGGTAAAACTAAATAAAACGATCATTTTTCCCACTCCTTTAATCAGAATTGTAAAGATTTACTTCCAATTGTGTATCTAGTAAATCTTGATCTACCACCGACAAAACAACACCCAAACAACGGCATTGAAATAGGTAAAAATATTGGTACACCTTTATAGCTGTTCGTATATTGAGATATACACTTTAGAAGTTTGGAGATGCTGGAGTTGCTCTCCAAACTTGATGAATGAACGCTGACGAATGAACAAGTTGATTCACAAAGGGTGTTATTTTGTATTGTTTTAATTACTGCCTGAAGGAAGCGTTTATCATTTTGCGGTGTTGTATTATATCAGTCATTCTAAATTTCTCCTTGACTATTTTGAAGCTTTCGAATAAGCTCATTTCGTGAAATTGGTAATACCTGAAGAAAATTTCTTTCACTCAACTGTTGTCTTTATAACGCCATTATTGACAGAAATAGACGATACTGCTCCATTTGACACAGCATTTGGAGTTTAGCAAGAACATATTTACTTAAATATAGGTTTTACATGTAAAAAAAAGAAAAAGGAACCGAAGTTTATTTATAGTATTACATCCATGACAATGCAAAAGTTGCGTCTCTATACAAAGGTAATTGCGCTCTAGCAACGCCAATATCGCAAAATATCGGCCGTGTTGGGGTAAAATACAGAAACAATATCATTTCAGAGTGACGAAGTATTTTTTGAAATATTGATGTCAATGGGTAGCCATAATTTTGTGTGGACTCATTAACTAACTGTGTAAATTTTCTATTTTGGAAGGTAAAGGTATAAAGCTATAAGCATAATGCTATCATGTTTACTTTGTTATTCGCCCATTTATCTATTTTATTTCATATTATTTCATCATTTCGTATCTTTGATGGTTATCGTCAACAAACAAACTAAGATCTCTATGCTATGACTCCAACTCTTCGGCCATTGTCTCCATAATACAGGGTGGAAATGGGGTGTTGATTTTCTTTTTGTTCTACTTACTTAACTAACCCTTTTGAAAGAAATTTTTACGACACCCATGGGGTGCTTCAGCATTTGAATGCTTTTATCATCGACGAAAAGTTGTTATCATCATCTTTTACTGTAGCTGCTATCATTCTCAGTATCATTGTTATTATTGGCGAAATAAACTGATTATGATGGTTGATCGTTCAAATTATATTATAAACGAACCAAGTCCGGGTCTCAATAACTGGCCCGTATACAGCCCCCCAACCCCAACCCCTGCACTTTTTGATAAAAGCTTTGTTATGCAATTTCTTTTGTTAAGGGTAACGAGTGGCTGAATACCGACCAGACCCTACAGGGAAACCAGTGATATGCAGCCCTGATATTTATCCTAAACTTGTTGCGAGAACAGCAACGTTAACATCGTTGTTCTATTTATCACGTAACATTCAAGACGTGCTGCAATTCATTAACACGAGTTAGATCTGTTAAAAAGGCAAAGGATCATCTTCTTGGTCAACCGTGTGGTATTGGCTGAGGTTCATCGCAAAACCTCTCGCAAAGAATGGTCTACCTAGCTTTTTCTCACGAAAGCCTGCAATATGCAAAAGTGATTCAAATGTAAATAAACAAGTGGTAATCCTTAGATTCTCAGTTTGCTCATCGTTACTGTATCATTTGTGTGGACGAAACTGCTTCTCGTAAAGTTGTTTGCCACTGTTCAATTTAGAGATGTGGCCTTGGAATGAAATAGGAGCTTGGAATATGAATTGATTTTGTAAAATTTTAGTGTAGCATCATGCTAGGAGCCCGACTTGGTGCGTTTATGACTTGATCTTTTTGATCAAGCTGCAAATTCAGTTTTCTTGCCGTAAATGATACTGATATTGAAAGTGAAAGTAACGACTTTAAGAATGAAGATGAAAACGTTTCGTCGACAATAAAAGCACTAAGATACTCAAAAACCCCAATTGTGTGGTATCAAAAGGTTTTTCACGAAATTTCTTTTGAAGAGCTAATGAATTTAATAAATGATAATTTTCGTGCCATTATTCAATGTATGCTTGTGGCTCTGGAATAAATCGAGACGCTTAACCTTACGCAAACCTCACTACAGGTGCCTAAAATGCGAGTTGACTCTTCCTTATCACTTAAAAAAAAAAGGTTATGGATGAAAAAGATGATAATCTACTGTAAATTATGATATTGTACAACTTTGGCAGAGAGATTAAGACTGACAATTACCATTCAAAACACAGAAGAACTATTAACAATTGGTTCATATCATTTCGTCAATTGGCGACGTAAAGTCAATATATGTAACCACTTGTAAACTGCATAAAACAGCAATATTACAATAATTTCATAACGCAACATTACCTTTCTGGACTGTTCTCAAACGCATTATGTATTTAATCAGTTTCTTTACGAAGACGCTCTTTAACAATGTGGCAATGTACAGTTTTTTTTCTTAGTTATTGCTTATTGCTTATCTTAGTTATATTCGTTGGTGTTAGAATCCGTTTTTAAGCGGTTCCCATTTATCCTTTCAAAGAGATAATTTCTTTTTTGTGTGTATTTGTTTTAAGGTCCTAGAATAACTTGTGTCTTTCGGAATGTTGGGAATGTCACTTTGCATGATAGAAATTAGCTTAGATTTTTCCTTTAAATATTCATATTTCAGTTTACAATAAGCACCTAGATACCTCGACTACATTGATTAAACAGGCTTACCCGTTTAATTACCTCAAATAACTGTTTTCTGAAATATTGCCCCACAAGCAGCAGTATCTCATCGTTTAGACACTTCTGAGTACCAAAATGGGTCAGAGGTAGCCTCTTCTCGATGACTCGTCCCACTTCCTTTCCCCCAAAAAAATATGATGATCTTCCCCAACATCCTCCCCTCCCCCTTCCCCACGAGATAAATAATGAATGGTCTGAATACAGCTGACCATGCCGTCAGATCTAAAATTAACTTCCAAAAGGTAAAAAGGCCAAGGCATTGTGAATTAGATTTATTTTTAATTCAATCGAAAGCGTTTGGCAAAGACATTGAGATAAATGTTTACAATTAATAAATAAAATCATAAAAGCCTTGTGTATGCATAAAAAAGATATTTGAGGTAAGAATAAGTCTCAAGTCCCAAGAGAAGAAAGTTACGCAATCAACTTACTGCTTCTAGGGTTTACAAAACTTTCTAGAATTTTACCTCATAGATTAAGCAGAAAACTAACCTGAACTGCTGTACATAGACGGACACGTTCAATATGTGGATCAAATGAATGTGAAAAAACAAGCAATGAAAAAAAAAGCAATCAAGGTTTTTAGAATGATGGTCTGGGATATACACAGCGGATACGATCGCGGAATTTTTAGAAGCATAACTGACGTGATCGAGGTCTTGCTTTCAAAACTTAAGCCGAACGAAAATCGGTCAAATGTTTGTAGCTTATAAATTC